CTTTGCAAAGCTGTCTTACGTCAAGAAGGACCTCACACTCAAAGTCAGCCATGCTTTCTCAATTGTGTCGAGCCACCCCATCTTTCTTTTACATCAATCATCCCCTCGTTGGTATACACCACATCGCGGCTCACACTACTTGAAAACAATCCTGGTAGAGCAATCCGGAGCTCACGGATGCATCCAGCCTGAGTGCACTGAACACCGTGGAAGACGACGTCTTGATTTGTGGCAATAGCGGCAGCCTGGACACGACGTCTTTGGGCAGCACTCTTGCAACCGTGGGAAGCTCCCGCTGCATTGAAATTAGCTGCAGCTCTTGCTAATCGGAAAGCACTCGAGGCTGCCGTTGAATCCGTCCAAGCTCATTCTTGTCAACTCGCAGAGACTGTTACAGTAATGTTTTCGCGCTTTGGTCTTCGCATATCAGACCACGTCGTGACCATGAAAGGGGTTAGCCTTGCTTCATGGTAAAGCAGTTGAATCCGTTGCCCTTGACCAGTGATGTCGAGGGAATGGCCACTTTTTTGTATCCAGTCATTCCACTCAACACGTCTGCGCTCTCCTTCGTGCTTGTCATCTTATTGAGATGATACGCGTTCTCCATCGTAAACTGCCCGGCCTGGCCGACGGCCACCAACCCAGTACTCCAGCACCCTGCCTTCCCGAGTGCTGCTGCAAGGTGCCGGAGGGGGGAGTATAGCATGCGCTGCGACGTGCTCACATCAGCATAGAGGGGCGCCATCAGTCTCATTCCGTCATCATGCACAGAACGACAACATGTCCAACAACGAGACAAGAAACTACCACAAGTAAAGACAATCGTTCCGACTCGAATGTATAGTTGTCAGATAACAACGTCGACTTGTCAGATGATATTGTCAGATTTAATTCAAAGTGTGATTATAGTCACACTGTCCTTCATGCGGCGCTTTTATCTTCAAGAGAGAGAGAGAGAGAGAGAAGACGAGCGACACGTGTTTGTGTGAGAGCGAGATCAACCGGAAACGCGAGAGAGGTGAGTGCTTCGGGCGACGGGATGGATGGCAGCGGCAGCAGCAGCGCAGTGTGATGGAATGGGATGGGATGGGATAGCAGGCTTGGGCTGCTGGATTAAACATGCACACATATGGGTGTGCTGAGTGCATTTGTGAAACGAGCATTGGCGGGAAGCTGCAAACTGGCGCCATGTGTTGCGCGTCTTAATTTTTTTTTTTCTCTCTCTTCTTCTGATTGAGTGCCCTTGCAGTAGCAGTCCGGAGAACCACCCGTCATGGCTGATGAAGTGAGCGAGCTGCTGGGTTTCATGTCCTTGGACACTCGCCTGGATGTGCGCAGCGCCGCCGTCGACCTCGTCCTGGGCCTGACCGTTTCCCAGGTGTGTTGAGCCGTTCGGCCTGTCAAACCGGCCTGAGTACCGCGCGTGCCTGTGAACTCATGTGCGCTTGCGGTGATGCTACAGGACAAGAACGTGTTCTTCAAGACAAACCGCGAGTTTGTTCCGGCACTCTGCACGATTGTCAAGGTCCGTTGACGTGTGGGCTTTAGGTCAAATGTTTGTTGCCGAGGCTGGTGCTGGAACACGACACATCAGCAGACCTATATCTCACCATCCCATGCTGTGCAGGAGGACCGGCAAGTGGTGATTGTCAAGGATGCGGTGGCAGCCTTGATCAACCTGGCCCACGATGAGGACTTGGCTAGCATTGTGATTCGCGAGGGTATTGTAGAGGCCACCACCAAACACATTCTCGACCCCGAGGAAACGTATCCCGACCCCTTTTGCCTCTTGCTGGTCAACCTCACGCGTCACAACGAGGCGGCTGAACGTCTCTGCCACCATACGGTTGACGAAAAGGTACGCATTTACTTTGCTGACGAACCTCCTTTTCTTCATCAACACCGTTCCATTTGTATTACTGTGGTCTCGGTCGACGTTGAGTCTCATGGAATATGCCTGGGTCGGTCGGGTGGATGAATGGAATTGCGATGGCTAGCCGGTTGTGCACGAGCTCGTCCGCGTCTTTTGCCTGGCCGACAAGTTTAATGAGAATGGCAATCTCGATCATTTGGCCAACGTCCTCTTCAACATTACACAGACCTCGGAGGGTCGGCGACTCGTCATGGCCCGCACCAATGAAGGTTGCGTGATTCAGGTTGGTGAAACACTGCTGCTCGTGAACATGACCCCCTTGGGTGTATTCAAGAGGAACAGGAAGGCTTGAAGGGGGGAATGCGCTCTTTCCCGGCCTTCTCAGCTGATGCGGTGTGTGTGCGTGTGCGTGTGTGTGTGCTGTGTGGTCCATCAGCGCCTGCTGCCCTTTACGCAGTATGTGGACTCGCGGATACGTCGTGGCGGTGTCATTGGAGCGCTCCGCAACTGCTGCTTTGAGTACCAGGTGCGCCAAGACATTCCGGCTCGGTGTACACTTTCAACTTTTTTTTTGGGTTGTGGTTGTTGTTGTTGTTGTCGACTTTGAACTTGCGCAAACCATTCTGCGTCTATCACTGAGCAATCGTTGGACGGTGGATTAGGATCACGAGTGGCTGCTGAGCCCCGAGGTGGATTTGTTGCCGTACCTCTTGCTGCCCCTGGCCGGCCCCGAGGAATTTGATGATGAGGTGCGATCAGGGCCGCCAGACCCGGGCTGTAGCCCTTCATCCATGCGCACCATTAGGATACTTGAACAACTTTTGCCTCGCAACTTGTCATCAAAACATGCTACTGTGTGCTCTGCGCCTTATTAGGACATGGACGGCATGCCAGATGATTTGCAGTATTTACCACCCGACAAGAAGCGCGATATGGATGCGGACATCCGTATGATGTTGCTGGAAGCGCTGCTGCAACTGGCAGCCACCCGAGGCATGCGCGAGCAAATGCGCCGCAACAAGGTGTATCCCATCCTGCGCGAGTACCACAAGTGGGAGCCGCTGGACGACGTCCGCGATGCTTGTGAACAGGTGGTGCAGCTCCTCATCAATGAGGAACACGACCTTGCCCCCAACCTTCACGAGGTCAACGTGGACCCGACCATTGCCAAGAAGTTGGACGAAATCAAGGTGTGCCACCCTGCGAGGCCCTCTATTTTTGGTGATTGTTGTTGTTTTGTTTCTTCTCGGCTCGCATCTGTGAGTGAATATGTGTGGATGGGTGAAGAGAGTGTGGGTCTCATTTCTTTCGCACTTGACTAATGCACGCATAGGAAATCATTTCGAGCGGCCAAGGGCCCGAAGTGGAACTTGTGCCTGAACCCGAACGCCCGACGGAAACAGCACGGCCGGCGTTGGAGGATGCCCAGTAGTGTGCGTGTGAAGCATGGGGATGTTGCGACGGCGTCTGGGTGCGCCTGTGTTTGCGTCGCATTGCCTCCAAAACATGATGGAAGTTGAAACGTGTTGATGAGGGAAGGTGAAACCGTGTTTCCGGCTGTGGCAGCGGGGTGTCGCTGAGACACAATTCCAAATCGATTTTGTTTGTTCCAATTGTTGATAATTTTCCTTTGTCTTTCTTTGCCTCAAGGTAGCAATTCTTTTGATTTCCCAGGCCGGAGGATCTTGCTCTGCCAGCACCCTGACTATTTTTTTTGCCTCCGAATGTAAGTTGGCACCTTGACGTACGCCGGTGCGATAGAGACTGCGCGTCGCGCGGTCCCGGGCGGAGAAGGAAATGTTGTATTCGCGGTAAGGCTACCGCATACGGTTGAGATGGGCCAAGAACTCTTCGCGGGTACGTGGATCGATGCGAAAGGTGCCCAGCATGGTGGATGTGGTGGTGCTCGTCTGAGTTTTTTGTACCCCGCGCATCTGCATACACATGTGTCTACACGTAGGCGGCAACAGCAGTGGGATCAAAGATGGTCAGGACGCAGAAGGGCGAAGGAGGACGCAAAAGCATCGCCAAAAAGGGTTGAGCCAAGACATGGCTCGTACTGGGCTTCCACGACGACGGCGCAGCCCGTGGGTTTGAGCACTTCCATGAGGACTGAAGCGATCTGCTTGGTCAGGCGCTCTTGGACTGGGTGGCCAGTGCCGGCGCAGACAGAGGCGAAAGGAGCCGCAAAAACACACGGTAAGCAAGAGCAAAAGCCAGGAAATCTGGCCTGTCGAATGGCAACAGCTGACACTTGTGGATGCGTGCGTCCATGTGGATGCATGCGTCCATGCCCACAATAACATGGGAGTGTGCGAGGGGGGGCAACGTGGTTTGCACCTTGAAGACGGCGTGAAAAGACTTCGACAATGCGGGCAAACTTGCTGAGACCCAGCACCTTCTTATCCGGAAGATAGCCAATGTGCACCTTGCCGAAAAAAGGCACCATGTGGTGCTCGCACATGCTGAAAAATTCAATGTCCTGCGCATGTAAGGCCCCACGATTCTTTGAGCAAGAGGTGGGAGGGCAACTCGGGGCGCGGATGCCTAAAGAACCAAGGGAGGCCACTGCGTTGACCCACGCGTACCCGGACGACGACCATGTCATCATGGTCTTCAGGAAAGACTGCGGAATGGATGACTTGCTCAGGTTTCTGGGCCAGCAAGCGGTAGGCAGCCAAAGTGAGAGGCTCACGGTGAATTGACACACGTCTCTGGCTCGCTCGGTGGCCGGACCGACCTTGGTGTAGCCCATGGTCATAAATTCGAGGGCCTTGGCAACGCGCAAGGGAGTGTCCTTGAGACCGGGCCGCTCGACATTTTCACCGACGCACTCCAGGATAGTGCGCACGGCGCCTTGCATGCTACGCGCCACCGATGCGGGTGAGAGGTTCTGGCGAGCAGGGATTGAGCGGCGAGAGGACAGGTGGAACGCACCGCTCCATGCGGGCCTTGGCAGCCTCGGGTTCCTCTCCAGGCCGGCCGAAGGAAAACTCCATGATGGTGGGAGCGTGATTTATCGTCAGTTCCGTCTGCGGTACAGCGAGCCAAAGGGAAAGAGCCGGCCGAGTGGGATGAGCAGCGACGGCCGGCAGCGACACCGACAAAGCACAAGACAGCGAAACGCACGTGCTTGATGAGCTTGTTGCGCTTGCCGAACGCTTGAACAGAAGCCAGATACTCCCTACAACCATGACCCAGACACATGAGTGATCAAATACGACGCTCTACCATGAAGGCTAGCCTTTACAGGGCCAGGAGCACCCGACGGAGCGCTGCCATTTTGCAGGTCACAGGGACGAGCTCACCCCACAGCGGCGTGTCACCCACTTTCACTGCGTTCGCAAACTGAGTTGAGTTTGAGCATGTTCACTGTATTCGCCTCCTGTTTAGTTTTTTAATCATTTGAATGGAGACTGAGAAGACTGGAGGAGACTTCAAGAGACTCATGCAGCACCCAAGCAACGAACTTCTCTGCCAGGGCTTGCTGTTTGCACTGTCGGCATCTTGCTTGCCGACAACTTCTCTGAACTTACTCTTTCAAGAAGTTGTCTCCCTCTCTCTCTCTCTCTCTCTCTCTCTCTCTCTCTCTCAATTTCTTGATTTTGAAGAAGAAGGAGACATCAAAATGGCAGCCACCCAGATTTCCGACGGTCTGACCAAGCGCGTAAGTCGCCTGATTACGGCTACAGGTTGGGCTACAGTTGAGCTGGAGACGGATGTGGGGGCTTCCAGTTGGTCGAACAACACCATACAACCAGTCCCACGCGAGATGAGGCAGGCACCCGTTCTTGACTGTGTGATGGACTCACTGACGGACGCGCGCTGACGGACTGGCAGATTCTCAAAGAGGGCGCTGGCCCCACGCCCACGGCAGGCACTGAGATCACCGTCCACTGCACGGGCAAGCTGTCAAGTGGCAAGAAGTTCTGGAGGTGAGCAGGCTTGTTGGGTTTCGGATGATCTCGATGGCAAGGATGGCGTTGACCCCTCTTTTTGTTGCTCTTGCCCGAGTAGCACAAAGGACCCGGGACAGCAGCCCTTCAGCTTCAATGTTGGCGTGGGCCAGGTCATCAAGGGATGGGACGAAGGTTGCATGACCATGAAGAAGGGCGAGGTTGCCGAGCTGACGGTCGCGGGCAAGAAGGCATATGGTGCCGCCGGTTTTCCGGCCTGGGGAATCGGTCCCAACGCCACCCTCATCTTTGAGATTGAGATTCTCAAGTTCTAGGCAGCTGGACCGCGCATATGCAGCTTCTTGTTGCTAGTTGTGTTCTTGCCCTGCCTTTCTTTTTTTTTTTTTTTTCTTCCTTCATCATGCCAGTGTGTGCGTGCGAAGAGCGTCCACAAGTGCAGGACGTCCTTCGAAATCAGCTGTTTTAGTTGAACGAGTGTTTGCATGTTTTCCTCTTCATTTCCCTTGAGAATCAAGACACACCAAGAATCAAGGAATGATGAGCATGCGACCAAGTAATGATGAGCATGCGACGCCTTGCCCTCATCTTGACGACCCGGCAAAAGGCTTGAGGATTGGGGTGAGCAAAAGGCTTCAAGACTGTGCGTGGTGGCTATGGCTTCGATTTCCGCAGTATCGGCGTTGCTCCGCACGCGCCCTCGGCCAGCCTCAACGCACGCGCCTTGTTGAAGCGCGCGCGGAGTGCTGCGGCCCAATGCGAGCCGAGGACGAGCAAGCCTCCAGTCCAAGCGATACAACTCCCCAACCAAACAAATAACAAAAGGTTTGAGGATCACAGGGGTACCACGATTGGACGGATGACAGAGAATAATACAGACAAGATGGGGTGATCACCGTGCCCGTTCAAGCTGGACACGGTGAAGCCGGTCACGTGCCGCGGGACGGCATTGTCGATGGTGAACAAGTTACTCGACCGGCACCTTGTTCAGGTTGAGCGCGTCGAGGATGGCCAGGGTGACCTTTTCGAGGTTCAGGGTGTAAAAGTGCAGGCCCGGGGCACCGGCCGCCTGCAAATCACGGCAGAGCTGGGCGCCATGCTCGACGGCCACCTTGCGAATGGCCTCCTTGTCGTCGCCGGCAGCCTCGACGGCGGCGCGGAGAGCAGCAGGGGTGCGCGACTTGCAAAAGGCAGTCATACGCTTGAAACCACCAGCGTTTTGAATGCACATGATGCCCGGCACCACGGGAATGTTGATGCCGTAGGCCTTGCAAGCCTTGAGGAATGCGCCGTAAACGGGAGCATCAAAGACCATCTGCGTGATGATGAGATCGGCACCAGCATCAACCTTGGCCTTGAGGTATTCCATCTCCTTTTGGAAATCGCCATCGCGGCAGACGTACAAGCCGTCTTCCATCTCGATGACACGCTCCTGTAGTCCACAGACGCAGTGCAAATGGTCAAGGGCGGTGTGGGGTGAGACCGGTCTGATACAGAGGTGCCATCAGATCATCAAAGTGGTACAACGTACGCGCTCTGATTCGGTGAGCTCGGCCTCGTCCTGGACCTTGGTGATGGCGTTGGGGTGGCCTTCGGGGTAGCCCGAGACAGCAATGGAGAAAAAGTCGCCGTGTTCCTTGCGAATGTGCTTGACCAAGTCGAGGGCGCAGCTGTAGCCGCCCTCGACGGCCTCCCATGCCTCTTCGCCCGCGGGCGGGTCTGTAGCGAAAAGGCAGGGGAGTGGCAAGGTTCGAATGAACAAAAAAAAAAAAATGGTCGCGCAAGAGTTGAGGCTTGGGCGCGGCGCCTCGGTTTTGATGACGATGTGACGGGGCGGGAGAGCAGCGAGTTTTGGCAGGGAGAAAAAAAGGCGGGAGGCTAAGCTACGCACCGCCACGAAGTGCCACAATGTTGCGGATACCGGCGTCACGGGCGCCCTTGAGCGCAATGTCAATCTTCTCCGAGGGCATGTTGGTGCTGTGACCCGATCGTAGGAGCAAAAGGTGAGCTGGGTCGGGTGCAGGTGCGTGATGTGCGGGGGCGGGCACAAGCCAAAAGTCACGGACCAGGTGAGATGCATGTTGGCGTTGGCGCCGCACTCCTTCACCATGCGGGTGCAGAGGTCGAGGGTCAAGTCCGAGGTGGAGCCTCCGGCACCCCAGGTCATGTCCATGAAGAGGGGTTCTGTGCCGGCCGACACCCAAGTCCAAGGCAGATGAGGAGAAGGTTCGGAACGCTTGGTCGGTGGGGATGCGTGTGGGTGGGCGGGAGCCAGTGGCAACAGGGTTGGGCGGGGCGTTTGCTAAAAACCAACTGGCCGATCACGTACGCTGGTCATTGTAGCGCTGGATGCGACTCATGAGCGAGGTGACGCCATCGTCGGTGCGGGGCGGGAAGAACTCGAAGGAAACAAACTTTTCGCCCTTGGCCGAGAGCTCCTGCAGGCGGTCACTAATCTTGAAGGTAGCCATGCTGCTTGATGGGGTTGTGATGCTAGCCGAGGGAAAAGGAAAAGGGAAGAAGGGGAAGGGGGAAGGGGGAGTTGCAGTGAAAGGTGAGTCGTGGCGGCCAGTCTCAACCCGCGGAAGTGCGGATCATGAAAATTGAGGACAAGATCCCGGCAACGCAAGCGCATCAGCGAGGACGAGGAGGGAGGCGGAAGGAGAGAGAGAGAGAGAGAGAGAGAGAGAGAGAGGGCGGGAGAGAGGGAGGGAGGGAGTCGTGCAGGACTTGAAGGCACGAGTCTGGACGCGTGTCGAGGGACGACGCGCACTGAGAGATCTGACGGTACCTTGATGATGATGAGATGGGGGCGGATAAGTGTGTCGCCTATGGGGTTTGAGACCGAGTGAGTGGCAAGATTGCATTCATCCGTCTGCCCTGCCCTGCGCACACGCTTCACGCAGGGGCAAGGGCACCCTGTATGTGCACAGGGGACCAGGAAACGCGAGCACGACCGCCACTGCCATCGTTGCCGGCTGGACGACGAACGACGACGACGACCCGTGTGTTGCAACAACAAACCTCAATCAATAAAACACCTCTCTCTGATTTGCTCCCTGGCCCTGTTGTGCCTCTGAAGTGATGCTGGTGGTCGGTCAACTTCTCTGAATGTTTTTCATATACCATACCCATCTCTGATCATGTGGAAAAGTCAAGCTAAAATCCCGGTATTGTCAGCTGCTATTTGTGTGCTTCTCTTTTATCGATGTTGAAGTTATTCCTATTCTCTAGATTCCAGTGCAAGGACGGCAATGTCTCTATCTCCATCTCGTAGTCACTATCATCTCTCCGCTTGGTTATTTTGATGTTTTTATGGCTGCAATAAGTGAATAGTTTGCAGCAATAACTGCATTCGTTTTGACGGTTGCCTTCCTTATATCTTCACAGTAAAGCTACAACTGGTTACAAGATCGACAATAAGTCCATATTGATCTGCATCTTCTCAACTCTAACCTCGTAGACTCCGACGGCTTCACGTGCGAGCAAGTGGCTCGAGACCAGAAAAAGGGCAGCCGGTCCAACGGCCCCTGAACCGCCAGTCAGGACCATGGCCACGCGTAGTCGTTGAGATCAGACGGCTGCCATGGATGCCTGAACACGTCGCCGCACAGGCTGAAGATCAGGTGCTTGTGTGTGCGTGTGTGTGCGTGTGTGTGCGTGTGTGTGCGTGTGTGTGTGTGAGCAGCGTCTGCTCGGGGCTGAACTGTACACGTGTCAACTGCGCACAAAGCGTGATATGAGAGAGAGAGCGTGTGTGTGTGCTGGGACACAAGCAGAGAGGGAGGCTGATGGTGGTGCCAGCAACGCGGTATCAGAGCATGGGCGACGGTGAAAGTAAGGGTTGTATGGATGGCCCAGTATCTAGCATCAGTCGGTTACATGGTGCGGTGACATGGCACTGCCATCGCGGTGCCAGAGGCGCTGCCACTTTCAAACACACACACACACACACACACACACTGACGCCTTCTTTTTATGCGGTTCTCAAGTCTCTCAGTCTCTCAGTCTCTCTCAGTCTCTATCCAGTCCCTCTCAGTCCCTCTCAGTCCCTCTCAGTCCCTCTCAGTCCCTCTTAGTCCCTCTTAGTCTCTTGAGTTCCTCAGTCTCTTAGTCTCTTCGTCTCTGTCTATGTCTCTTAGTCTCTCTAAATCTCTTAGTCTGCTAGAAGTCTGGCTTGCCGCTGATGCGCACAAGACCCCAAACCTGACTCACTCACTCCGTCAAACTCACTCCCAAACGCGAGACTCGACTCTCGAGCGGCGTCCTTTCCTTTGGATGTGTGATCAAGCCATCATCTGGGGCGGCTTACCCTTGCAGTGTGATGCTCTGCGTCGATGATTGGTTTTGAGTTGACGCGCCTGGTTCGTTTGGGGTGGCACGCCAGATCGCAGCATGGACATGGCATCCGCTTGCTGCGATGACAACTTGATACGGCGGCTCCTGCTCCCGCAGTTTGGCAGCTGGCTTGTCATCATCAATCAACTCTGGCAACAGCGTAGACAGTTTAAAATGACATTCTTTGTGTTCCAGATCATGGCAAACGACAGGGTCTACGGCGACGTCGGCCACCGGATTGGGATAACCTCGCCTGTCTGTGCCCGACTGGGTACGCAGAGTGCGATCGAGTTTAGTGGGTGCCCTGGCCTCGTTTGGCACGCAAGAGTCCAGTCGACGCTATTCGGGGTGATTGATTGCGCACACGGTCCTGTCACGCGAAAGCATCCAATGGGTTTGGGACGACAATCCAAAAGGATACCAAGAGGCCGTCGAGCGCGCCGGCGCCAAAACTGAGACATCGATCAGGCTGCGCAAGGCAACCTGGAAATGTTCGGCCCGCCTCCTCTGGCGTCCGCCCACCCGTCCCCTGTGCTCTCGGTATTTGGTAGCCCCAACTCCACCAGGCAAGGCGGGGAGGCGTCGAGGCAAGAAATAGAATGATTCAGGACGGTCAAGGACGGAGCCGGGCGCCCCAACAAGGAGGGGCATTGAAACTTGGTGGGGGCTCCAGTGATACCGGAGAAGTGCGAGGAGGAGCCTATGGGGTTGGGGGACGTGGCTGGGGCTGGGGGATACAGACCCATTTCGACCATGGTGTGGGATGGATGAAACTCTTTCAAACAAGCCCAATGTCAGGAGGGACAGTCATACTGACTTGACGTCACGTGTACCTTACGCAGGAGTACAAGTTCAGCCTTGTGCGAAGATGTTGGCAACGCTTGTGAATCAAAATAAGGGTATTTTTCCATCTTTACCAATAGAAACCACCCAACTTGAATTTTTGGACTGGGGCATGGCGGTTGAGGTTATCAATCACACACTAGAGTCAAAGGGGGATTCTTGTGAACTGGAAGGGCAAGCATGTGCATCTGCCACCCAGCCGTTGGCTGCGGTTGGGGCTCGAATGGGATAATGGTGCGGCATAATCTGGAGTTCTTTCCTGCACGAAAAGGACTGTTGTGATAATGATGAGGGTGTTGTGATTTTGACGTTGATTCACCGCTGGCGCTCTCGGTGCCTGCTGCTTGCCAAAATCCTATGGGCGGAGCGATGATGTGATCAAAGCTGAATGTTCATCACGTCGAAGAGAAGCAGCGCTCTGGCAGCACTATAAGATGAGTTTGCGTGAGGGTGATGCTGGCGGCACGTCGCGGCGAGTTTGTTGTGACGAATCAAGTCACATGGCAAAGGTGCCCTGGCACCTGCGGCACCTCATACCGTGTGTTTGTTTGCATCACTGCCAATCACGCCAGCACGCTGGCCGGGCACGCGGTTGACGCGTTCATGACGCAAACGTTTCATGGCGCACATGGTCCACCCCTTTGTCCAGCTTGTCAGGTCTGTGCTAGGGAAAAACAAGAGCCCAATGTGGGCACGTGTGCCGTCACAGCCATGCTGGGTGTGTGTCGAGCTCGTTCAGAGCGGGACTCGACACACCCAACCGGACCTAACCCCGAATAGCCCCGACCAGGCGTAGGGACGCGTTTTAAACACGGTGCCCTGTCTGAAGTTCGCCCATTCTTATGTCACGCAAACCATCAACGCTGTCTGTGACACAGACAGGAGCAAGATGCGGTCAGTTGTGATGTGCAACGGAGCGCATGAGTGAATGGGGAAGACTGGAATGAAGGGCGAGCCAAGCGGTTCTTGCGAAGAGATGGGGCCGCAGATGGTCCAACCACGGTTCTGCACCCCGGCCTTGACCATATGTCCCAGCGTGGACAGAAAGGTAGGGGCGTTGATGTCCAACGCATGCAAGCGGACGCAACTGTTGGCTGAGCGTGTGCCTCGACAAGGTTGCATCACAGGAAGCTTCATCCATACTTACGTCCAAACAAGACACGCTGCGACCCAACCCAGCCCCAACACAGCCACGCCGACCTCGTCAGGACGTTTGGTGTGGTTTGTTTAAGTGAGTAAGTGAGTGAGTCAGCGAGTCACAGAGAGAGAGAGAGTGTGTGTGTGTGTGTGAGCAGCGTTTGTGATGCTTCTCAAACGATGCGGTGAATAATTCATATACGATAAACTTAAGAGTGCTTCCTGCTGCTACGCCTGCCATATGGCATGAGCTACGAGTGCCGAACACACAGCTCCACGGGGACGTAATAATCAATACGGCGACGCGCTGGAGCGGCAGCAGCAGCGTGGTTGAATCGCAGTCCAGTTGATTGTGTCGAGGTTTTGCAATCGAGGTGACAATTAGCTTGGGTACCCTCTTTCGCTACCCCTGGCTTGTTGGGTAACGACAAAACCAGGATTTCGTCCAACTGTTGATTTCAACCAAATGCCGAGAGCGCCGGCGAGACGGCGCTGACTGCAGATTGGACTTTGTATCGCTTCAGCCCTTAAGATGGCCTCTCAATATCCAAGTCCCAGGGCTTTTTTGGCTGATCATCACGATGTTCAGACACGATCATGCCATGGTCAAACGAATGCCAAGCCTTGCTGTGACCCAGCAGATCCGACACTGGAACATGTGCTTGCTGATCTTGATCCCCAACTCTCCATAAAATCATCCTTGGATACCAAACAAACAAACAAACATGCAAATAAACGGCAGCCAGTGGCGAGAAATCGGATCTCATTCGCGCATTCCTCGCCGCCCGGTGGCATCAGTGGCATGCTCCTGGCCCTGCTCCGCCCCCCGCCTGGTTGGGGAGAGACTTTTAGCCTTGTTTCGGCGTTTCGTGCGTCTTATTCCAGAGACCCCCAACGACACCTTGCCCCAAGTCAACCTGACTCTTGCTCGTTTGTGCCCGCCCCGCGCACGCCCCAACGAGCATCTTGACCGTCACTAGCATCAATACCACTGAACCCGGACTATGTCCCCCCTTCTTCCTTGGTCCCCCGTTTAACGATGATGCGACCACACTGCGTAGGAGAGTGGGAAGATGGCTCGACGATCTCACGTGGCCATGTCTCGACGACAGATGCCCAAACGTTGATCACACAGAGGCACGGACGGACCTTGGAGGTTTTGGTTGTGGTTTGGCCTCTTTGGGTTCCAGCTTAAGAAGGTTGAGAAGCCTCATGCTCGTCTACCAGTGGGGCTGCTGTCCTCTTCAAGTTCTCCCAAATTGCCCCAACCCAACGACCGAAGACGCCCTCCGCCTCTTCAGCCCTTTTGCTGCTCCGCACACTTTTGCCGTGACTTTGCTGATTGTGTACGCTGTGCCCGCTTTTGGCCATCACGCTTGCCTTTTGATGGTTGAGTGGTCAAGCGGGACCCTCTACCTCGACCGAGTCGGTCGCGGCCCCAAACACTAGCCCCTTGATCACCTCGCGTACCTCGCCCCCTCCTCTGCCCCAAAAGAATTCTTAACCATCCCCAACCTCTTTTATCTCTCCTCTCTCTCTCTCTCTCCCCTCCACTTCTCTCTCTCTCTCTCTCTCTCTCTCTCCTCTCTCTCCAGCTGTGCCGTGTTCTCTCAGCGTCGAGCCAAGTCAAAGAGGGAAAAAACGGACAAACGAACCAAACGAATGGTTCAAACAAGTTTCAACCATCAGAACCATCAGGTATGATGATTACGTCGTCTCCCCCCACAAAATAGTAAAACCCCACCCACAAACCCACAAACCCCCACCACCAACCAACCCAACACTCCCCCCACCAACCACACCAACCCCTTCCACACTTCACCCTCTCCCTTTCTCTGAAAACCTCACTCTCCCGTGCGCTTTCTCTCTTAGCGCACTCTCTTACCGCTATCTCAAATCACCTCGCCCTCTCTCTCTCTCTTCATCCCTCTCACTCTTCCTTCATCTCTCTCGCTCGCTTTCGAGATTTCACGGCTTTGATTGCCTGACAGGCAAAGGAGCTTTTCAGCCGTGTGCCCCTTCCTCCGGTTCGCTGCGCTCTCTCTCTCTCTCTCTCGTCTCTCTCTCTCGTCTCTCCACCGCAACCGTCGCAGCAGGAGCAGCATCAACCACCACGGTCAGGGATTTGCGCCGGGGCGACTCGTCAGTTGGGCATTTTCTTCAGTCCACTGCCAGACTTGATCAGCACCTTCTACAACCATCAGCAGCAACCATCAACAGCAACAACAACCACTTGAACGTTGTCGACCAGGTCGCCACACACAGACGGCCATGATGACTGAGCTGACGCAATTGAGCTGGCTGCTCAATGCCAACCCGCGCTGCGCTGCCCTGGATGATGATCACTCCGCCATGCACCAGCTGCCCTTCTCCATGCTGCTCACGCCCAAGACCCCCCAGCGCCGCTCTGCCAAGGCAACCGCCGCCAACCGCAAGCTCAAGCGCGCCGAGCGTCAACAGCGCCGCCGCACCATTGACATGGACCCCACCTCGGCCAAAAAGATGACCAACACATCCACCATCAACAACACCAACAACAGCTCGGCCAAGCGCCGTGCCCCCGCCAAGCTCGCCACCACCACCAACGACCAAGACCTCGAGTGGCTCTCCGCTCATGCCCAGCTTCAAGCCCGCCTTGATCGCCTTGTGGCCGCCGCCCTGGCCGTTGACCCCGAGGCCGCCAACGCTGCCCTCCTCCCCGCCATGATTGCCCTCGCTCTCATGCACCACCGTGCCGTCTACGACCAATCAGCCACCAACGCCACCCTCACCTCGGCCAACCCCGGACAGACCTCCACTCAAGTCGAGCGCTGGATCCTTCGCTCCTTTCCCGCCCTCGCCCTCGCCGCGGCTGCTGATCTGAAGAAGGGCGTCCGCATTCACCTCGGCTCCCACTCTGCCTTTGTCCGCAAGCAACGCGGTACCGCTCGCACAACGTGGCGCGTTGATGCCCAGTACATGCCCACCCTCTGCAGCGAGCTCGAGCACTTTATCAGTCGCGCCTCGGCCGTCAACACCTCCAGCTTGCAAGATCACACCGCCGCGCCCAGCGCCAAGCGCCTCAAGCGCGCTTCCATCCACCACGAGTCACGCATCCTCAGCAGCGGCAGCTCAGACATGTCCGCCAGCGACGCCGAGTCACTGCAAGCCGACAGCGGCTTTGAAGAGTTTGCCGAGCTCCTCCATGCCTACGCTCAAGAGGATGATGACCTCGACAACATGATGAAGGAGCTCACTGCCGCTCTCCCCGAGCCCTCCCCCCGCGAACCCCAGGACCTCTCCTCCATCTTTGGCGACTCGATCAACCCCACCCTCTGGGTCCCCACTCTCGAAACCGGCGCCGATGATCTCACAGCCACCCTTTTCCGTGACCTCGAAGCCCTCACCGGCCTCGTCCCCGATCAAGAGTCACTTGACCCCCTCAGCGCGGCTGCCTCCCTCATTGACATCCTCTGCTAGGCCCTCCACCCGTGCATTTTATTCTCGGTCCCCTCTCGGAAGCGGTGGCATCAACCCTTCCCTGATGACCCCTTTTTTTCCTCTTTTATAGCCTTTAATTGCCTTTTTTTTTCTTTTGTCTGCCTACGCTATGGCATGTCCTCCTTGTCGTGCCTTTTTTCTTCTTTTGATCGTGGTACCTGTCTCGAGTGTCATGGACTCGGCTGCGCGGCCTGTGGTCGCCTCCTTCAAGAGTGTTCAGCCTTGAGCCGCTCCCCGGGACACCCCTATCTTCCAGTGTGATTGCTTGGTTTATTTAGAGCATGCGTGTCATCCATGACATGCACCATTGAACATAGTCTTATGCAACCCCGCGCTCCCTTGTTGAACCTGGTCTTTCTCCTTTTTGACCATGAAGACGCGTGGTCCTAACCGCCACCTGCCTTCCTTTCTTTCCATAATTTAATGCAAAGCTTTTGACTCCCTTCCTTCCTTTCTTCCTGTTCTCTGGTATTTCCAACCTTCGATTAACAAGCAAGGTCTCAGCCCTTTGAGAACCTGACAGACAAGAAAGAAGATAATTATGTTATCATGATCGCTCTACGCCTTGTTGTAGCCAAGGGTTGTGTCGCATTTGGACGTGGCTCCTTTGAGCTCCATTGTCAATTCCATAATCCGCCGACAGGCAAAGAGGAAGGAACAATGGCATCATAGGAAGTAGCAACGAACGAAAGAAAAAGGAATGATCAAGTTGAACTAGTACGGCGCGGCCGCACAGTATCGTCCAGGAACAGCTGACGCCCGTTCTCTCGACAAAAGGCATTTAGCCGGAGAGGGAAGCAAGGCTTGCGACAGCGAAGTGGAACCTATAGCGCCTTGAGACGAGCCTCCAGATCAGTCAGTTCCTTCTCCAGGTCAGCGCGGGCGTCCAGCTTTTGACGTTGTTCGGGCTCGAGAGAATCGGCTTGAAGCTCCCCGGCGTCCAGCTTGCCCTGGCCCAAAGCAACCCAACCAAGCGTGAGACGGGCCTCAACACAACCAGCAGCAAACCTGCCGCGGCTTGTACCTGAAGTTGTTGAATGCTCTTGAGCTTCTTGTTAATGGCACGCATGCGTTTCTCGATCTGAACCTGCCAAGCGAGATGAACACGAAATAGTCCCAATGGACAGAGAGGCCGGTGAGGAGGATAAAAAAAAGAGGAGGGGGCAATGAAGAAAGCAAAGGGCTGGTGGAGGATAAGAAGTTGCAGTACAATCAGGACCAGGGTGCTGTCTGCACCAACGTACGTCCTCGGAAGCCGCTGGTGAAGCAGCGGCGACGGGGGCAGCGCCAGTGGCTGTGCCCGCCGAGGTTGAGGAAGTGTCCGCTTCGTCCCCCTGTTGACCAGCGTCATCGTTAGTGGCCAAACCTAGGGCTTCGGCTTGGCGCTTGGCTTTACGCTTGGCATTCTTTTTCTGAGCCTATCGTGGGGGGAGTGGGGCGGCAATCCTTTAGAGCAGGAGAAGAGTACGTGGGGTGGCGCAGCAGTTAATTGCTTCCGCACCTTGGTCATGTTGGCCATCGCGGCATCTGCAGCAGGTGCGCTTTGTCCAGCGACGAGGCCGCTATCGCGCCATTCGCGCGCCCTACCCACAGTCAAGTGCGGCACCAACGGCAAGTTGAGCGACCCACGTTGAGCAAGCAAGGTGGCCAGCATGCTGTTGCTGCTGCTGCTGCTGCTGCTGCCGTCGCTGCTGCTGCTGCAAGCAGTCGACAACTTACACGCGCGCCTTCTCCACCACAAAACTTTGCTTTTCCTCCGGAGGAACGTATCCGGGCCTGGCGAAAAGCAAGAGAGCGTGAGCGAGCGCGCGAAAAAAAAGAGCACTGAAGAAGCCAGACATGCGTCACAAATAACGGACTTACTTGACACGTCGCGCCTTGCGCCAAGTCCCATCTGCGCGCTGCGTAGATGTGATCATTTCACCGGCACCGCCGGCGCTGCCACTGCTCGTCGCCATCTCTCTCTCTCTCTCTTTTCTGTCGAAAAAAAAAAAAAGAGAGAGAGAGAGAGAGAGAGAGAGAGAGAGAGAGAGAGAGAGAGAGAGAGAGAGAGAGAGAGAGAGAGAGAGAGAGAGAGAGAGAAAAGCAGTTCGTTGTGTCAGTCTCCTCGGAGACTGAGACTGGAGTCTTGGATCGTATGAGTCTCCTAGTCTCGTAGTCTCCTTGGGATCTGATACGGGTGGTGTGATCG